GTGTTTTGCAGATGCAAAATCTGAGAGACCCGGCAATTCAAGTGCTCAGCCCCAGTTCGCATGGCTGGTAGTTAGTTGAGCCAGGATTCCAGCCCACGTCTACCTGACAAACACTGAGCTCACACCCAGTCGAACACTGAGCTCACACCCGGTCGGCTACAGGGCCTCTCACCCCCAACTTCTCTTTAGTGGAAGCCTGATTGTAGGCCAGTAGCACCGACTGGCTAGCAGTCTGTATTCTCTTTGAGGCATGGGCGTCCCACACACATGTAACAAGCTTCTTCTTTTAAAAGCATGTCCCTTCCCTGTGCCATCCATGTTAACAACACAGCTAGCACTTAGAAATCCATCCTATATCATAATGGCTTCTTCTTTTCCCCATCCGGGTAAATAGTGCAATATTTAATATTAATTTTTGTTGATTTTTAAATCTGAAAACATTATCTAATCCTCAGAACTTTGGAGGAGGGGGAAAGCATTGCTAACTTAGACTGTTTTAATTTTGGGTAACCACTTAATTTCCATATCCCATATATACGTTCTTGGGCAAAATAAAATCAATTGTATCTGGTGCCCAAAGGTATATGATGCCACATCTTGTTGTTTTCTATGTCTTTCTGATGGAGTGTCAACGATGGCTCTTACTCTGGATTCATTTAGCCTGGCCCAGAACCAGAGAACATTATCTCCATTCCCAGAATGCTCTTGGACGAGGCCACATGTCAAATTTCCCAAGAACGCCAAGACACTTGCTTCTTATTGTGGATTTACAGTCCTCGTCCTCTTCAAAACCCCTAGTATTGCTTTTGATGTGAAAAAGCAATTTAAAAATGTACCATATCTAATATAACACATGGACATATTCACCATACACATTCTTTTAATTAAAAGAATCAGTGCACTGCCTTTTGCTGACAGTTAACACCAGTGCTCTAATGCCATTTTCTATTATTGATTAATGAGGTGCATACTCAAAGCAAATTGGGGAATAAATCATCAATGACATTGATTTGCTTACCAGCTCCCCAAGAAACGTGTATAATTAATTGTGGGTGTGCTACCTGTCTCTGCTGGTGCAGGAGCTTCCCTCGGTTCTTGGCCTCGCCTCTCTGTCGTGCTGTCATACTGCCGGGCTTCATGAAGAAGGGTGGGGAGCAGAACTGAAGGCGTAGTGTGGGTGAGAGATTAAGCCATGGGTACATCTGATACCCTGAGGTGGAAAAGGAATGTTTGCACATTCCTCAGGAGAGGGGATGAGGAAACAGGTTCGAGAAGTTTCTGCTTGAAGGAGGCAGCTCATTATTCCAAAGTGTTCACATGGTTTCAGTAACATGTCTGGAGCTGATCACTTTTGAACCAGGACGCCCATAGAAATCAAGTGTGTGTACTTTCATCGTCATACTGGGAAGGAGGCTTGGTCAGCAGGTGCGAGGAACAGGTAGCCTGGGCTCTTGTTGGATTGGTCAGAGTCTGCTCTTAAAAGAGTAAGTTCCTCCTTTGGATGCAGGAGGGAGGGAGCTCAGTGTACCTCCAGGGAACTGGGTCTTGGGAGGCAGTGGGGTGTGGTGGGCTCCCCTAGAGCCAGCTTGGTCCGGATCCCAGCACTACCACTGATGCTCACACTTTGCGTGATCTTTGGCAAGTTGCCTAACTTCTCAGGATCAATTTCCTTGTCTATAAAGGAGGACATAATAATAGTAGTTAGCTCTTAGGGTTGCTCTAAGGATTAAATGAGACAATTTATGTGATATGTTGAGACTAGAGCCTGGCACATAGTTGGCATTATATGGTCACCATTAGTGTTTGCTATTCTGGAATCCATGGATGGGCTTTTGTGTGTCTGTAAACCTGAAGATCTGCACAAACTGTGTGTATGTACACATCTCTGGGGAGTAGGTCCACAACATTCATCAGGGTCTCTCAAAGGGCTCCCTGACTTCCTAAGAGCTGTGGGCTTTCGACTTAGGGGTTCTTCTCCCTATCTTTGAAGCACTTTTAACTCAGGCTCTCCTCTCTGCTTTAAACATACTGTTTCTCCTACGTGCAATGTACTGCCCTAAACTCTGCCTTCTTCTTTTCAGTAGTAATAATAATCCTTAAAATAAAGAAGATGATAACAGCAGCTAATATTTATAGAGCATCTACTATGTGACAGGTCTCAAGTTTGTGACTGATTTTTCCCTGAGCCTCAGCTTTGCACTTTGTAGGGCTGTAGTGAAAATCAAATGAGATCATGCGGGCAGAGCAGTTTACACTTTGTTGGTAAATAGGATATAATCAACACACCCTTTTTCTCTTCCTGCCTTTGCATATCTTCTTTGTTGTTTTCTTAAAGTAAGTTAGGGTCCTCTTGCATCAGTTCTGAGGGTCTTCATCAAACACTCTTCATGGTAAGCATGTGTCTAGTCCTATGGTGCTAATGACAATAGGTATGTAGTGTTTTACCAAGCTCTGTCCCATATAGTGCCTGATGTCATAAGTTGCAAGGAGCATATGCATCAGTTCATTCACTCATTCAAAACCCTCAGTTCAGGACCTACCACTGCCCTGCACTGTGCTAGGGACTTGGTCTCTGCCCTCTTGCCCTCAAGGAAGTGAGGGATTCTTCTGCAAAGCAAGTGCACGGTTGATAGTGCCTCTGAGCTGAGGCATCTAATCAGGCTGAGGTGTTAGAGAAGATTCCTGGAGAAAGTGACACTTGAGTGAGTTCAGTGAGGGAGGATAGCTCAGCAGAGGGCTGAGCTCTGCAAGGACTGGCCATCTCTAGAAGCTAAGGTGGACTTTGTTTGCTAAGTTAAATATCTAGATAAAATAAAGAGTTTGAAAACAGCTCCAACTCCCTGCCCCAAACTCTGAGGCCCAGTAGGGTCTGGCCTCTGGTGACCTACTGGGCCAGGCCATGTCCCCCACCGCTTTCCCCCTCGCTCACCATAGTACAGCTACGCTGGCCACGCCCGCTGGGTGTGCCACGCCTGTTCCGGAGGCAAGGCCTTGCTGCCACTGGTGCTTCTTGGAGTGCTCTGCCACCAGACCCTCCTGAGCCACCTCCTCCTCATGCTCCACGTCTCAGCTCAACAGTCACCTCTTCTGAGAGGGCCACCTGACCACCCGGTCAGAGGAATGACCCCCAGGAACCCCCTTTGTATGCTGGTGTCACTTCTGACTCCCGATGTCCTCCTGCCCTTGGTGGCAGGCACCAACACCCCAGATTCCGGACTGGTGGGGTCAGAGCACTCCACCATTCCTCAGTGGATAAGTAGCACAAGGAGAATAAACCTTTGCTGTTTCAGGACATCAAGTTCCTGAGACGGTTTGTTATTGTGACAAAACTTACACATTCTGACGGTCACATCGCTGTGTCCTCCAACATCCCAGCATGATCAGGCACATAGGTAAATACTCAATAATTATATGTCAACCAACTGAATGAGGGAAAGAAGGAAAGAAAAGAAGGAAGAGAAGGGGAGGAAAAAAGTCTATTAGGATGAGGCTAAATAAAATCAGAGATCGTCTCTAGCATGGTGGCCTGAAACATAATTCTTCCATCTAGAGAAATGCTTTCCAAAACCTCCAAAAGATTGAGATATCATAATAAAGGGCAGGTGCATTGGGGGTTTGTGATGGGCTCCAGGGGTCTTGGGGCATCCCACTCTTTTTAGGTGGTCTTCAGGTAGACCCCCCTAAGTGTGGTGCAACCACTCGCCCTTGATACCTGTGGCCTCCGGAGAAGAACGCACTGCAGGGCTACTCTTCAAAAAGGTTCTTTTGCATCTAGATCCTTGATCTGCTCTTGTATTCCTGGTATTTACCAATAAAGCCTTCCCTGTTAGCCCTGTATAGACCGCATCTAGTTTCCCATCGGAATGTGGCTTGGGGCTCTGGGATCACACCTGGCCCCAAAGGCTCTCTGTAGTGATGTACGTTGGGGTTTCACACACTCCTGGCTGTATGTCCCATGGAATAAAGACTGAGGCCAATTAAAAACAGATGCCCTGACACAACCGTCAGGAGTCCGCTCTCTCCTTCGAATCTCCTGGAGCAGTCCCGTGCTGTTTCTCAGAGCTCAGGAAGGCTCTGGCTGCTGACGTAGCGGTGTGAAGGACCGCCGAATTGTTGGCATTCTTTTGTTCTGAGGAGAATAAACTAGTTTCAGTTACAATAAGAACCAGATTGCCTGAAAACGTTTAAGTCTTGGGATTCACTGGTTAAAAACAGCTTCTAGGGTGTTTGAATGAGAACTTTTCCCAAGGATGGCTTTGGTGAAGGAGGAGAGGCTGCCAGACACTGCCTCATTAACTAAACAACACAGAACACGGCTCTATATTTTATTGCTGTGTGTGTTAAACTGTGGAGAACGAGAAATTGGAAAGGCCGAAACCCAGCCATGTTCAAAGAATGGAAAACAAAATGCCCCAGCTGTTCTGCTCAGAGAAGGGTAATTCACAAACAGAGAAACAGGCATCACATTTTGGGATCTGACCCCGAGACGAGTTGGAAACCATCACGCTGGTGGGATTCCTCCGGCTACCAAGCCCCGCTCCCCACCTTCTCCCCTCGGATGCACCTGAGGCCATGTCTCCCTTCGCCCCACCCTGGAAGGGCTCACGGTGCACGTGAGACTGTCGAATTGCCTTGGTCCTTTTGGTGGCCTTTTCTTGTTCACATGGGCCTTGCAGAGGGATACACAGCCTGAGACTAACCCAGGGCAGCTGCCGCAGCTTCTAAGCTTAGGTTTAGAAAGAGATCTCATTTGTCTCCTGTTAGAATCCTATTCGAGCAACCATTCAGGCCTGGACAAATTCATCTGGTGACATTGGCCTAGCCTCCTGGGAAATGGAAGAGGGGTGGGGCCTGCCAGCGAGATGACTTCCTCCTTCCTGCACTGCCCGCAGCCTCCTGCTCAGTGCTGCCTGGCTGCCTTCCAGCAGCGCCTGGAGACTCTGCTATCAGCGGCCCCACCCTGCATGATCAATCGTGTCTGCGTCTGGGGTCTGGCCTTGGCCTACTAGAGCAAGGCAGACTTTCCCAGTCCAGCAAAGGTGTTGCTTCTGGAGATAAGGTGCTAGAGAAGACTCCAGAAGCCAATGGGTAAGGAGTCCTGAGGTCTTTGTGGAGCTCCCAGTGAAAAATGTGAGTCAATACTTATTTTTCTGGAAGAGTTCATTTATCAGGAATGTTGGACCCTTGTTATTTCCTTTGTGTAAAAGCCTGGGATAATATAGTAAATTCAATTTCATTCAATTTTGTTTGTAGATTAATTGCCACTATTCAACCCTTTTTGAGCTACAAAACTGGCATTTTCACAAAGTTCAACCTACTGTACTATTTTAACACTGTCCTGGACACTGAGGATTAAAAAGAACAGTTAAGAAAAGGTCCTTCAGAGAACACACCATTAAATAAGGAGATGCAAGTGGATGGTTACAGTGTGTCGTGATTAGTGTAAGTGTAGAGGGCTACGCCAGGGCAGATGGGGGTGTGTTCAAATCCTGCTTGGCCAGAGAGGAAAGGTTACCAGAATCGGTTCTTAGTTACTGCACGCACACGAGCTTCTTTAAGACCACTTACTCTCTACCGGTACTTACAATGAGGAGAAGGAGGCGTGCAGCATTCTCTTTTAAATTAAATTTTTATTTTTAAATAATTTTAGGTTTATAGAAAAGTTGCAAAGATAGAACAAAGAGTTTCCATATACCAGCACCCAATTTCCCCTAATATTTTATGTTGCCATCGTACCTTTGTCAAAACTAAGACATTTATTAGCATTGGTACACTACTATTAATTAAATTCTAGACTTTATTCAATTTTGCCATTTATGTCCTTTTGCTGTCCACACTGCATTTAAGTGTGGAGGTTTTAACATGCATTTGCAAATTCTTTAACACTCCTTCCATAGAGAGTGTGGGTCTATGTCTTTTGACCTTGCAACTGGACATGCTTTGGCGACTGTTTTGGCCAATAGAGGACGGTGGAGGTGACACTATGTGACTGCTGAGTCTAGGCCATAAATGGTGATTCAGCTTCTGCCTTGCTTGCTGGAACACTCCCCTACCCTTGAAGCCTCCAGTCCCCATGGAAGCAGTCCAACTGCCCTGGCACCGCCATGCTGTGAGGAAGCCCAAGCTAGCCGGTACACAGAGACCATATGGAGAGGCCTTAGGAGTCCATGAAGAGAGACGCTCACCTATGCTCCAGCCTCTCTACTCCCCAGCTGCTCTGGCTCAGAACTGTTCCAGCTTCACCCACTGTCAGACTGCAACTCAGGGAAAGCCCCTGAGACAGAGCTGTCCAGCCAGGCTTTTCCTGCATTCTTAACTCACAAATGTGTGAGAGATAATAAGATTGTTGTTGTTTCAAGCTACTACATTTTGGGGAGTTTTGTTACGCAGCAGTAGATAAATGGAATGTGAGAACTCCACCAGCTGCTCTTACATGAAGTATGAGGCTCATCCACATGTAATAACCTTCCAGATATCCTGCCATTTTGTTTTCACACATTCCTACTGTGTGCCAGGTACTGTACCAGGCCTGAAGGAAGTAGGTGACTAAGATAGGTTCTGACCTTGAAGGCATAATAATCAGAAAGAAAAGCAGACAAACCATGGCCATAGTGCAGTATGTTTAGTCAAAGTGTCATGAGACCAGAGAAAAGGGACACATTTCCTGGGGGACATGCTTGAGCCAGGACTTGAAAGATGAATCAGAGCTTTCCACTAGGATGGGGGTGGTGCATGCTTTGCAGGGGAAACCTACAAGAGCTCTGCATGGCTGGAAACAATGGGCTTCCTTGCATGAGTGTGCTTTTGGGTAAGCAGTGGGCCAGGCGTGGAATAGGAAGTAAATGTGAAAAAGAGTGACCAGCGAGACTGAGGTCAAGTTTTCAGAATGGAATCTGGGGTCACAAATGGAATGTCAAATCTCTTAGCCTAGATCTGACTGTCCTTCTAGAAACTTCCCAGGAAGATGATGTTTAAATGTTGGTCACTGAAAGGTGCCCTCAGGAATTTGGACTCAAAATATACATCCACTGGATGTAGCTTGACCTCCTGGAAGAATAAACGTTGGAAATGACCAGGGGTTAGGGCTCAAAAACCCTAAGCAAGTCTGTCCAAGTCCTGGCCGAGGGGTTTATGAGGTTTCTATTTCCATGGTTTGTATTTTCCAGGGAAGCAAGTTTATGGAGGGTGGAGGCGGGGAGGTGTACGGAATGAAAGCACACATTCTCAAAAGTAAACACAGCTTAGGTGAAAGGAAATTGAATAAACTCTGTGGAGGCAACAACTGAGGACTGAAATGGAAAAAAGGGGGTGGGAGAGAGTGAACTTGAGGTGGTGGGGGGAAATAAGTTAGAGATGAGAGGACAGCAGTACAAACTCAGTCTCTGTCAGACTCTTGCTTGGGCCAGTGTGTGGTCCCTTCTTTTGTTTAACCTAGTTTGAGTTTGTTTCTGTCCCTTGCAAACAGAAGAGTTCTGACTAATTCCCCAGACTTATATATATGTCTTTATTTGATTCTCCCCAAAATGCTGATACTCAAGGAGATTAAAGAATTGGCCCTAAGTCACACAACTGGTAAATGGCAGAGCCATTTAAACTGGATATTATGACTCCAAAAGCCAGAGATCTTTCCAGAAACCAAGGCCACAATGTATGCCAACTGCCCCTTTCTCACCCATCTTTCTGACAGCCTAGATCTTTCTTCCCCAAGCCTCTGCTAGGGAGAGATGGCTGAAGCTGCTCTGGACTCTCACACACTCCTCTTCTTGAATTTTATTTCTTCAACTTAGAGATAGGGAGAAAGGAGAGACCTCTCAGGTGCCATTCAAGGCAAGGCAAGGAAGGTAATGTTGCCGTAATTTCACAGATTAGGGAGCTGAGACTCAATGAAGTTGTCTTCAGGCCAAGATTTCACAGCCAGGGAGTGGCCGATGTAGAATTTGAGATCCAGTCTCTGACTTCCACATCCATCTTCATTTGATGCATTATTATCATGATTGATGATAAACAACACAATTAGCTACGAGTTGCATAGCACTTACTACATGCCAAGTGCTGTTCTAGTGCTGATTATTAGCTAATTTAATCTTGTCATAATCCTATGCTATATTTTGCAGGTGGCAAATGCAAACGCAAAAGTAATTAGAAAATAAGTCTTCGGAGCAGGTTATCTTTTACCTTTCTCTTCTCCTTTACTCTGTAGTTTGGTTACCTTTTTGCCTCCTGTTTGTACTTGGCTGGTCTGGGGGAGAAGTGGAGGTTTGGGGAGTCTGGATCCCAGATAAAGATCTGGGATTTGCTTTCTTGCACCCTTCCTGGTTCAGTTGCTTTTATTTCACACCCTTCTCATTTCTTAGATTTCCTGGCCAGGGGGCCTTTTCCATTTGGGTCTCATTTCCTTACCTCCCTTCCCACCTCCTCCTGGCCAAGACTGATCTGTCTCTTTGACAACTAGACACCTGCTGCCAAGAGAAATAATCCCCATGTGTACAGGGTGTTACCGAAGGGAACAGGGCGGGGAGGGAGAAGGGAAGGGCTTCCTGCCAGCCGCCCAGTGGGCAAGGGGAGAGGAGCCAGAAGGCTCCCTAGGCCAGGAGGATCTGGCAGAGGAGGGGCCAGGGGACCAGGGGCAGCTGGGAAGTAATGAGGGGTGGGAGAAGTTGGGAGGCCGAGGGAAACAGAAGGGCAGTTTCCAACCAGAAAGGGAGGAAAGGAGTGGTTAGAGGGCGGTGGTGCTAGTGAAGGAGTCGGGGGTGGGGAAGGCTCGTTACTTACATTTGTGCAGAATTTCATTGCTTACACAGCATTTTCACCTACATTATTATACCAGGGAGGCTTCATGAAGCTAACCATTTTGCTGACAGTCAGCTGAGGCTCAAATCCTAAATGGATAAATTAAAGCTTATTGGGCACCAACTATGTGCCAGGGAAGGTCCCACGTGCTTTTATATCTGTTCATTGAGACATTCCTCCGAAGCCAGCTGCAGGAGGGAGGTAGAAATAGCTGCTTTTTTATAGCTGAGCAAACAGGTTCTGGTTAATTCCCACGTTTTAGAAATACAGGGCAAGTCCTACTTTCCAGGTGCCATGCAAAGGCTGGAGGGAAAATCAAGGCAAACACTTCCCCTGGGCCAGGGCTGTCCCAAGGGCTTTGCAAAGTATGATTTTCTTATGTTTTCACCACCATGAGATAAGCACACTATTGTTATCAAATACTTTTACAGATGAGGAAGCTGAGTCACAGAGAAGCAAGGTGGCACGGGGGTAAGGCATGAGTGGGATTTGAACCCAGGCAGTCTGATTCTAGAGTCCAGATCAGGCATCCTCAAACTACGGCCCGCAGGCCACATGTGGGTGTTTTTGCCCGTTTGTTTTTTTACTTCAAAATAAGATATGTGCAGTGTGCATAGGAATTTGTTCATAGTTTTTTTTTTAACTATAGTCCGGCCCTCCAATGGTCTCAGGGCAGTGAACTGGCCCCCTGTTTAAAAAGTTTGAGGACCCCTGGTCTAGATCTAATTCATCTATCATGCTGTACAGCAGTGGGCAAAAGAAATGTGGCTTTGTTCTTAATTTCAAGTGACTGAGTTCAAATCTGGTGTCCCTTCCACTAAACCAGGCTCAGTGGGAGGGAAAATGTATGTCTTAAACACAGCAAAAAGGAGGTGACCGTGCAATGCACCATGTGCTGAGCTGAATCAAGAACCCCTTCTCTAAGTGCCAGGGCACAGCCAGACAACAGGACCCCACACCAGGATCCTAATGAACAAACGTGTCAAAATCCCATGGCCTCTGGTTCCTTGCAAATTAACCAGGTCTTAAGCACTTGGGTAACAAAATGGCCCTGGGATGGCCTCTACATATGGGGAAATAGAATATTGAAGTGGTTTAAATGCCAGGCTCAGGTGACAAACTTGGTTTCAAATCTGGGTTCTCATACTTGCTGGCTTGGGACATCCAGCTCATTGCCTGATCTGAATTAGCCTCTACAATAAAATGACTGAAACATAGTACTGATTGTTTTGGAGTTGTCGTCAGGATTCAATGAGACCATGCCTGTAAAAGGTTACACTTTGTAGCCTGGTGCATAGTTAAACGTGGAGTAAGTGTTAACTTTGGGGTTAAGAGCTTAA